GGGGCGACCTTGAAGCCGGCGGCTCGGGCCAGTCACGTGGCTCTGAGGCGGCCTGGGGGCCGCAGGCCCGAGAAACCGGTGGGCCGTCGTCCGGTCCTCCAAGGATGGCGAGGGAGGGCGGCCCAGGAGGGACATAGGCCGGCGTCCGAACGTTTCCTTCAGCTACGGGGGGCGGCCCGGGGGACGAGCCGGGCGCCTGGACTGTCCCCGTGTCCACGTGGGTCAGGCCAAGCCCTCTCCCTTGAGGGCGCCCGGAGCACGGAGGGGACGGCTGGCCGGGCCCCTGGGAGCCGTGCCGTCCCCGGGTGTGTCCCCCGCGGGGTGGGCAGTTGGGCGCTCTGCCCGGGGCTCGGCGCCCCCTCAGCCAGGGGCCGGGCCTCCGCGTAAACGAGCTCGGCGCCCAGCGCCACGTGCTCTACACCGGGCAGGAGTGAATCCAGAGCGAACACCTGGCGCCTATCGGAGGCGTCCTAGGTGCCAGGGGCTGTCCCAGGCCCTTAAATGGTCAGTGACAGGCCGTGCCCTTGGCGGTTAGTTGCGGGGCCCTCGCAGTGACCCCGCCGGCCGCTGGGCGTTGTGGGCCCCGTTGTTGGCATAAGGCGAGGGAGGCACAGGCCGCCCGAGGTGACTGCCCAGGATCTGCCCCCAGAGCCCTTGCTTCTAACGCCTATGTTCCCGCTGCCTGCGTAGATGGTAAATATCCCACCCCTGAAATTGAGATAGAAGGGTTTCCTGCAGAGGGCATTCAGAAGAGGGGGTTTCAAGTTGGCACAGGAAAAGGGCCTTTAGGAAATGGAATCGCGGGTCTAAAGCAGAGGTTCCCAAACTTCCCTTTCTTCACGATGCCCTCAGGCCAAGCGAACTATCTACCAGTCTATTTGTAGACTCTAATTAGGTTCCAATAACCTAATAATATTGATGTCATAACAACTTAGTAGCTGCTGGAAAAAATAGTACACAGAATGAAAGAAGAAAAAAGATCTATTCATTTCACTCTTAAGTAACCATAACTGCTCACTGCAGGAAATGTGTACCTGTTCACTTCTCAGACTCTGGAATCAGATTGGACTTTGCCACCCTCATTTCTTGTTCTACGTTGATTTTTAACATTGTACCTGCACTTTATTACAGCAGCTGCTAAAAACAGCCTTGCAAAGATGTGACATCATCAAAGAGAATATAACAATATCGTGTTGAAGCTGTGAACCACCTGGAACTAGTAGTTTCTGAGATGTTGAGCAGAGTATCCCTTTGTTGCCCTTGAAGATTTAAAATACTCCATAGTACCCTGGGAGTTCCTTCTGACTCTAGGACACCCTGATGCACAGTTTGGGAGCTGTTGCAGATCTAGGCAGGTTTGGGGGGAGTTTTTTTGTTTGTTTTTATGTCTACTTCATTATCAGGTAAAACAGGTTAAAAAGAAATAATACTTTTGTAAGAGATGTTGGTAGGATTAAAAGTGGGTCTTCCTCTTTTTCATTAAAATGTAGATATGGCTCATTCCTGATACATTTGGTATTTTACTACTTTGGCCACTTGGAACAGAACCAGTTAAAAGTGAGATACAGAGATAACTAAGTTGTCCTTGCTTCCAAGTATTAAGTTCCTTCCTGGCTCTGAAGTTCAGTGACCATAACCAGAATTTTTTTTTAATGGAAATGTAAATTTCCCACAGGTTGGTATTCTTGGTATTTATGTCATTTATCTCCTAGAATTAAAAAATAAAATAGTAGGTGATAAAGTCTTAAAATAACACAAGCCCAGCAAAGAATGATGGCTCAGAAATGATTAATACAGGAAACTCTTCCAAAGGATTACTGAAAGAGAACACTCCTTTCTTTCCCCCCGGGGTGAACTTTTGCCTTCTTTTTGAAGCTGACTATTGGAAAAGCGCAAGGTGCTTAGACAGACAGAATGAGAAATAGTTAATCTTCTGACAGATAGGCTTTGAAACAGTTGTGAAACTTAACACATTTTTCTTTTCACTTACACTTGGCAAAAGGGCCAGTGAAATTTGAAATTTGACCTCAAATTAATTCAATCCCGGGTCATCACTCCGTCTTTACACCTGGAACATGTTGTACATTTATTTTTCTCTGCCCATCAAAAGAGACAGAGAGGAGCCAGGAGAGGGGTGGGGAGCCAACTTAACATGAATTATGGAATGAAAAGACTTCCCTGTAAGAACAGTCTAAATTTTAGGACTTTAATCTGGAAAGATGCGGCAGGATCTGGTCACAGGGCAGAGTTCTGGCTACAGATCTAAGTTGGGGGCCCCTGGAAGCCTGAGGTAAATTTTATAGAGGGAAGAACTGTGCCTTCTAGTCATCGTAGAGTTGAAGGTGCTGGTCCTATCTCCTGTTAACCTCCTTTGCTGTTATTGTGCGACAGTATTTGACTGACTGCATTGCTCCTGATGTTTTTATATGACCCGCGTAATTTTAAAAATACTACTTTGATTTGTCCATGATGTTCTCTGGCCTTAATTTGCATCACCCACCCACTCTATTGCTTGTCCTAATTTTAAGGAAGCAACTTGAAGTTCCTCCATCCCCACAGTACCACTTACCCTTGGAAAATCCCCAAATAAAGCAATCCTAGCTTGCCCCATGTGTTCACACTAGTAGCTCTGGGAGTAAACAGTGCTGACCTGGCTTCTTCTGTATTTCCACCCTCTAGCTCACGTCAACTCTAGCTAGGGTTTGAACACCCCACTTAGAAAAGCAAGCTGGCTTACTAATTAAGAGCTTGGGTGTTGGAATCAGAAGATTTCACCTTCAGGTTTTTGTTTGCCACTTAGGAACCCTGTTATACTGGATAAATGGCTGAACTTCAGTGCTTCTGTTTGCTTGCAAGTTGTTGAGAGTAGATGAGACAATGTGAGAAGCACAAGGCCAGGAACCTATTAAGCATACAAGTCTTTTTTAGTTCTTTGTCAGTTGCTGAAAACTCATAGAGATATTTTATAGAATTTTAGTAGTTCGTACGAAATTTTTAAAAATTTATTTTAGGTACATTTAAGGCCCATATTCATAATCCTGCTGTTCTCTTTTTCACATTTAAAGGAAGAGCCTAGACTGGACGTCTTGATCAATAACGCAGGGGTCTTCCAGTGCCCTTATATGAAGACCGAAGATGGGTTCGAGATGCAGTTTGGGGTGAACCATCTGGGTCACTTTCTACTCACCAATCTTCTCCTTGGACTACTCAAAAGTTCAGCTCCCAGCAGGATTGTGGTAGTTTCTTCCAAACTTTATAAATATGGAGACATCAACTTTGAAGACTTGAACAGTGAACAAAGCTATAATAAAAGCTTTTGTTATAGTCGGAGCAAACTGGCTAACATCCTTTTTACCAGGGAACTAGCCCGCCGCTTAGAAGGCACAAGGGTCACTGTCAACGTTTTACACCCTGGTATTGTGCGGACTAATCTTGGGAGGCACCTACACATTCCGCTGCTGGCCAAACCACTTTTTAATTTGGTGTCTTGGGCTTTTTTCAAAACTCCCATAGAAGGTGCTCAGACTTCAATTTATTTAGCCTCTTCCCCTGAGGTAGAAGGTGTGTCAGGAAAGTACTTTGGGGATTGTAAAGAGGAAGAACTACTGCCTAAAGCCATGGATGAGTCTGTTGCAAGAAAACTCTGGGATATCAGTGAAGTAATGGTTGGCATATTAAAGTAGGAACAAGAAGTGTTTAAAAAATAGATGTCACATCTGTGATCAGAAATGGGGTGGCTTGAGCACTTGCTACTTGAAAACAATTTTGGTTTTACAGTAATACTGCTAAGAGGTACATACGGGTATTTTGAAGTTATGAAAAGTTGTATTTTGGAGAACAAAATTTCAGAGAAGATGTTATAAATGTACAATAAGCATAATGAATAAAGGACAATAGAATAGATTTTAAAAATAATTGAACATGCATGGATTACAAATATTAACTCAGTATCTTTGAGTGTCATGGCCAAAGTATTAAATATTTTTATTACAGTGCTGGTTTTTTGTGTGGAAATAATATGCCTGGTGTGTGTGTACAATTCTTAGTTGGAATAAATTTACTGATGCAAATTCTTAATTGTCTGGTTTTTTAGACACTTCAGTGAAATTAGACCTTTATCTTACTAGCCCACACTTATTTTGCTATACCAAGTGTCTTTTCACATACTTTTTTGCTGCTTTTAAGAGGTAATATTTCTAAAACACAAGTCTGTGTCCCAGTGTGACTCTCCTGCTTAAAAACCTGTGGTGGTTTCCAGATACCCATAACAGTGAGTTTCCAGTACTTTTTTTTTTAAGCTGCAGAATTCTCTCTTTAAAAGAATATCTTACTCAAATGCAGAAACTGGATTGGTAAAACAGGTCATAGCAATGCAATGAGGTGGAGTCCCCCAGGCTATTCCCGAAGGGACTCTATAGAATAAAGTCGTTTATAAATAATTTCTACTTAAAGTTTAAACTCTAATATACATTTTAGATTCTCCATGAACTGCCACAGGCTTTCCTTGTACTTTTTTTTCCCCTGAAAGATGGATGCTTTTATTTTTTTTCATTGAGTTTGTTTTTTTAATATTTTTTTATTGTTCAAAATATTACAGATGTTACCTTATACTCTTACACCCAGTGCTGTCCAACAGAACTTGACAATGATGGAAATAACTCTGCACTGTCCAGTATGGTAGACTCGACATAGTGGTTATTGAGTACTTGAAACATGACTGAGAAGTGAATTTATCATCTTAAGTTTAAATAGGCACATGTGCCTAGCGACTAATGTTTTGGACAGCCCATCTCTAGTTACTCCACTGGATAATCCAGCCCTCAATGCAGACTATACACTTCTTGCCACGTGGCCTTTCCCTATACTGTTCTTTCAGCCTGGAATACCCTCTCCTTTTCACTGGGGACACTCCTTAGCCTGTAACACTCCCCTCACATGTGTCCCTATCTCCAGTCCCTGAAGGCTGAACCAATTCTCTCACTGACCTTGGCAGCTTTACTGCCAAGTTAGTACTCTCATTATTTGTTCACAAAGCTAGTCAGGCAATTGGAATGGGAATTTTCCAAGGAAAGATTTTATTCTTCTGTTTATTACTATTTTTCCTTCCTCAAGAATCAAGTAGAGTACCTGACACACAATAAACATTTGATAATGATGTTTGAATGAGTAGTAAGGAATTAATGGTGTACATAAAAACAGTCTACATAAGAATGTTGCAGGCATCTGTTACAGCATTAAAGAATTATTTTAATTGCCTTAACCATCTCTTAATACTGGGAAAATGCATTATGATGGTAAAGGACAGACTGAACTACACCGAATTTAAAGAGCATTTTGGTCAGAGGTGATCTTTGATTGGTTATTATTTTTTAAGACTTTTTATAATATCTAGTTGCCAGTATCAGTTGTTTTTGAGAAGGGCAGGATCTTGGCAGATCATACAGAAGGTCTGTTTTCTGTTAGAGCTTGGGCTGTAAATATGAGGAATACTTCGTGTTTGTATCATCACAGGTGTGTCTTTGCAGGTGTAGTGAGTATAACCACATCATGTTCTTTGAAATGTATTTTTTTTAAATAATCCTGCAAAGAGATCTGCAGATCTTAGAAGTATGGGCAGGAAATACACCAGAATGCAACTTGGAAAAATGGAAGCTAATAAATCTGTCCTACACCTCGACTTCATTAAAAAGGAGCCCTTTTTTTCTCTTTTAATACCATCTTTTCTGGCTGCATTTTGATACCTGATGCTTTTCAGGGGATTTGGGCCTTTTGTAAGAGCTGAGCCTTTCAGAGTTCTTGTTTGTGGCACCATAATAAAATAGGATATATTAATTTATCATGATGGAAAACTAGAAACTCATCTGGAAACACCAACTGTTAAGGTAAAATGAGCTGCCATTTGGAAGATGTCCTTCCCACCCGGTGTTTGATGGAATCGGGGACTAATAGCTATGGTATGACTACTTAGGTTCTGAAGATTATTTAAACCCTTTTTTTGCTTCTCTTCTTTCTCCCTGCTGCTGACTGACTTCTAACCATTTTACTGGGCACAGAAGTAAGCAAAGGGCAGTTCTGATACCTTGATAGTTCCTCTAACCTTAGCAAAACCTTGCTGGAGACATGTGTAATGTGCCAGATAACGGAGTAATTGAGCTGGAAACCCATTTTCATGTGGGTTATTGGCTTCATCTTTCGAAACAGTGATTTCTGTTTCAAACAGCGTATTCTGAAAAGGGGTGAGGTCAGAGTAACTATTTTGTATTGTGAGGTTCTAAGTAGCATTTAAGTGGAAAAGCGATGTCACTGCTTAGACACCACCATGCTGGGTTTGATGAACTGCTCCACTGTGGTTCCCCACGATGGTGGCAAGTTAACCCCTCTGAGCTCGTTTTCTCTGTCCGATCCTTGAGATAGTGAATGCCCACTTCAGAGCATTGCTCAGTGAACGAACTGGCAGAGTATGCAAAGCATTTATCCGATTGTCTGGAGCATGTGGGCCCTCATCAATTTCCCCTTTCCCACCACACCTCATCGTTACTATTAATAGCAAGAGTAATTACTAACAGTAATACTTATATTAGTACATACGATGGAAACAAACTAACCAAGAGTCAGCAAATTTTGCAAAAGGCCCGAGTATAAATACTTAAAGTTATTAGGCCATATACAGTCTGTGTTTCATATTTTTTTTATAATCCTTTACAAATGTAAAACCCATCCTCAGCTCACGCAGGCCATAGTGTTGTACTTATGCGACAGCCGATGTGCCCCTTGGTTGCCTCTGAGACGCCGCACGGCAGCCGTTCTCGTGTACACTGGAGCTCCTGTCCTTAAGGAGGCTCCTGCGGCTCCTCCTATCATTCCAATCTTGTCTGACTATTTGCTTGCAGACCCAGGAAGTCTAGAGAGTGTCTTTTTTAAATCTCTAGCTATAGATTTCAGCGTGAGGAGTAGCAGTCGTATGCCTTGAACTCCCCTCCCCTCCCAAACTTGCTGGGCCTGGCTAGAGATCTGAGAGATCCTATATTTGAATATTTAATTGATTCCAAATGTCCCAGGCAACACTGAAGAGAGAACATGTTACTAATCCCCCTTCAGGAGCTTGGCCCCACAGACAGCTTCAGATGTTTCATGAACCTTCTCTGGACAATGGGGAGTTAAATTAGTTACAGGTTAGCATGGAGGAAGGTAGTTTATTCCTTCAGGCAAGTTAGACGGAGAGCTCAGTTTATGCGGACTGTTAGGAAGAGTTGTTGCTAAGTTAGATATTTAATCAAGGTGCAGTAGAAGCACTCTTAACCAACCATCATGAACACACTTGCTGTAATACCTGATTCTCCTCTTTTTTGTGTGTGTAAAACATACTATCTGAGGCCCACAGCATGAGAATGCTCCAGGCTGGCAATTTCCTCTCCAGCCCGCCCCTGGTAGAGTGAGTTATGCACCATTCGTTTGTCATTTCACAAATACATCGGAATGCCCAGGCATTATCCTAGGCTCTGGGGACATAGGAGGCCAACAGAGAAAACCCAGTCAGTCCTGTGTGTGTGTTAGTTGTGCTTGTTACAATTTATAACAGAAGTTATTAATCATAATGCAAAACAAATTATGAGTACAGAAAGACAGAGAATTTCTATGAAAAGTAAGCTGAGCGCTTTGTAAGAAAGTAAATGAAGGCAAATCACTAGACACTTACTGTTGAATTTAGTTTCAAAACAACTGAAAATAGATACTATAAACATCTGAAAGGGTCTATATTTAGTGCTTTGCAAGTGACTTTAAACTTTGGCTCCATTTTAAGACACAAAGGCTGGGAGTCATAGACTGTACTATTAAAGTGAGTACAGGGCAGGAAGATGGAATTCCCAGTGAACTCACACTCAGGGAGACAACAGACAGGCCCTCGCCTGTATCAGAAGGTGGGAGGGGAATGAGCGTGTCATAGGTTTTAAGTTCAACTGATGCTCTTGAGGTGCATATAACCCTCTTTCTGAGGTCCTTCTGGAATCAGCTTTTCCAGGTAACCAGCAGATTCCAACTAAGAGGGCTTCTGTTGTATACAACAGGCTATTACTGACATACCAGAGAGGTTTCATTTGGAGGAGCTGGCGATCGCTGCATTCTGTGTAGTGATTCATGTTTTCCCGAAGTCTTCCAATCTAAACTTGGGATGTTTTATTTTTTAAAGCGTCCCAACGTACTTAACTGAGTATTTGTTGATATATTTGTTCCTGAGTATCTCTGCAGCCTAAAATTTCTTTTCATCATCAATCTTCTGTTTGCTTCTCTCCCTCATTTAAAATATCTACTAATTGTGTTAAGTAGGTAAGTTCCTTAATTTAAGAGAATTATTTTTCAGTCCGTCATTTTATCTTTAAAAGTTGCCGTATTACATATGATGTATAGTAACCTGGTCTGTCTTAAGTTACAGGTTTTAATGTCTACTAAAAACAACAACAAAAAATGTCCCTAAGTTCCTTTATCAATTCTGACTTAAGAAAATACTTGT